CTGACAGATTCAAATTAAAAAGAGGGTGAATGGTGGAGAAATTTGCTTTTTTTTTTTTAGTAATTTTACGAGGGTAACAAGTGATAAGGGTCAAAAATTAGTTAGGAGGGGTTAGAAATCCAAATAGAAATAGAAATGTGTCAAAAATCCCAATTTCCCCTTTGCTTCTTGTCCTCTAAATTCTAGCCTCTTGTTTTCTTTTTGTTTTTTTACCCTCTTCTTTTTCTTTCCTTTCTCCTTTAATTTGCTCTATTTTGTATCTAGCTCTTTTTTTTTTCTAAACTCATTTAAAGTATTGTGAATGTTCATCACTTTCCTTCTTCATCTCGTTAGATCTTTATGAAATAGAAATATTATGAAATTTTAAGACTCAAAATAACGTGTTGTTATCGGGTTAATTTCATCGGAGAAATCTTAATAGAAATATGAAAAAAATATATATATAACAAGATTATTCAACTCCCTTGTATCAAACAAATTGTAATACTTAAACAAATAAAAAATTTTATTTTATTTCGAGAATAGTCATCTTGCCCTACAATTTTTTAAAATGTAATCTTGATAACAGAGAATATAGAAATTGTTGGAAAACAAAATAAAAACCCATTTTACACAGAATAATTTCGAAAAATAAAGATGAAGAGAGAGTTTAACTAAATAGAGATGAAAAGAGAGCCTAAATAGAGATGAGGAGAGAGCATAAAAACACGAAGAGCAAAAAAAAAAAATAGAGAAAAAAATGGATTTGAGAAACAAAATGAAGAACTAGACTCATTTAGCTACATGATAACTATGCTCGCTTGAATTAAATTTATTGACTTATTTATATTACATTAAAAAATTAATCTATTTTAGAAGAGAGAATAAAGATCATTCTAATAACAATCTAAGGATAAGAATAGAATAGTATTAGCTGTGGTAAATATGAATTTATAAAACTATCAAACAAACAAATGCATTTGTGTTAATTAATACACATGCATGCCTGTTTTGCAGCATAATATTGTAATAAAATAAAACAAAATACAAATTTCCTTCGGTTTTCAAAAATGGTTGTAAATAGAGACGAAAATAAGGCGAATTTAAAACCTTGAACTTACGTGGGCTTTGAGAGGCTTTTCCATCACGACGGTGAACTCTATCTTCTCCGACAGATCCACGTCGTCTCCGGCCACCGCCTTCCACTCAAATCGCCATACCAAATTCGCAATAAAATACTCCAAATGAAGCATCGCCACGCCAAGTCCTGGACAAATCCTCCTCCCTGTTCCGAACGGCATCATCTTTATCTCCTTACTCCCTGTTATATCAAACGCCGCCACCGTCCCCGTTTCTTCTTCCATGAACCTCTCCGGCTTGAACGCCAGCGGGTCCTCCCACACTTGTGGATCCAGACCCATCTCCCCCACCATGAAATTTACCATCCCATTCTTTGGAATCACATAGTTCTCCAGATTCGTGTCTTCTTTCACTGCGTGTGGCAGCACGAAATGCCCCGGTGGGTGTCTTCTTAGTCCTTCTAGAACCACGGCTTTCAGATATGGAAATTTCCCCAAATCTTCTTCCTTCACCTCCTCCTCTCCCTTTCCCATGACCCCTTCGATTTCCGCGAAAAGCTTGCGTTGGATTTCTGGGTATTTCACCAAATTCGCCATTATCCACTGCAGGGCCGTGGAGGTGGTATCGGTGCCGGCGTTGAGGAATTCGGCGCATAAAGTCACCATTTCGCTATTCGTTAGGCTTCTGTTTTCCTCCTCGGGGAGCTTCAAATCGAGGAGTGTATCCACGTACGACAACACGAATTCCTCTTCTCCTCCTCCTCCTTCAATTTGGGCGGCTCTGTTTTTCTGGGCTTTCCTTCTGGCCTCGATCAGAGGAATCAGGACTTTCTCTTGGTTTCTCCTCAATTCGAAAAACTCCTCCCACCGCTTTCGGAGGAAAATCTTGCTCAATGTGGGGCACAAATTGAGGACGCCGAAACGCCCAACTCGTAACAGCATGGATCGAATCGCTTTCTCCACCTCTCTGATCTGGGTTTCGTCAAGCTTATCCCCAAAGCACATCAGTACCAGCAAACAAAACATGGCGTATTGAAAATGCTGGACAACGTTAACAGGGGTTCCGGATTCAGAGTGGGAGAGAAGGCGATTGATGAGAATATCCAGAACCCACTTGCGAGCCCGACCGTAGGACCGGACCCGCGAAGGGTGGAGGATTTGGGAGGTGAGATTGCGGCGGAGGAGGCGCCAGAGAGGGCCGTAGGAGGCGGAATTGATGCTGTGCTGGTTGCTGGAGGCGATCTTGGTGATGGGAGGAGCCGGTGGGCGGTCGGCGAAGAGAGCGCCGTCGCGGACGAGGGCCTTGTGGGCGATTGAACGGTCGGCGATGTAGATGGCGGGGCGGGCGGCGATGCGGAGGGTGACGATGGGGCCGTATTTGGCGACGGCGGTGCGGAGGAGGGACTCCACTTCGAAAGGGGATCGGGCGAACGATCGGATATTGGTGATGATGGGGATTGAGGGAGGGCCCGGCGGGAGTTTGGTGGAGCTTCGAAATTGCCCAAAAATGGAGTTTAGAAGCGAGCAGATACAGAGCGAGATGAGGACGATGAACCAAACCTCCATTTTTTCTGTGATTTTTTTTTTCGTTTTCTTTTTCTTTTTTTCTTTTTCTAATTGATTCCAACGATAAACTCTCGTCCTTATAAACTCACAAATTATACAAATGGCATCAACACACGGCTTCACGGCTCCACGTTTTCCGTTTGATTTATGGTTTTTAAAAATGCTAGTACGAAACAGGTGCTTGAAATTATATAAACATAAATTTAAGGAAATAGTTAAAATTTTAGATATAATTGGGCTTTTTAGTTCTCAACATGTTTACCTCATCAAACCTTTTGTATTTTACATGTTTATTTAATAAAATCCACGTCTCAGTAATTTTCATCACCCACTAATCCAAAAAAATTGAGAAGTGTCAGGTAAGAATAAACAACTAAATACATATTTCTTATTACTTGAAAAAATTTGGTTAAAAAACACATTCGGTCTCTATACCTTTTTTATATTAACGATTTAGTCTCTGAACTTTTAAAAGCAACAATTTGGTTTCAGTACTTTGAAATTGATGATAATCCAGAATTTTAGGTTAAGGAGCACAAATGTATATAAACTTAATGTCAATTTCAAACTTGAATTTCTCATGTGTGTTGCTTAAATGGAGTACCAAATGAGTTTAGAAAAATTATTGAATTTTTTTTATCCTGAGTCAAATGAGTTAGAAAATATATTTTCTTGATATTAAATAATAGATAGGATTCGGACAAGAACAACATCATAGTTATAATTTCAAACTTGAATTTCTCATGTGTGTTGCTTAAATGGAGTACCAAATGAGTTAGAAAAATTATTGAATTTTTTTTTATCCTGAGTCAAATGAGTTAGAAAATATATTTTCTTGATATTAAATAATAGATAGGATTCGGACAAAAACAACATTATAGTTATAGTTAGTCTTCTAAACTTAAATTTGTAATCAAACTTAATTTAAGAAATTTGATTTTTATTAAATTAGTGGAATTTTTGTAGATTTTTTTCTATTGAATAAAGGGATAAATGTTATGACATTTGAGGTTACCAATTTAAATTTATTAAAATAAATACGTTCTACGATATAAATTTAATTAGAAATATTTTGTTAAAAAAACCTTAACGGGATATTAAAAGTTAAAATTATTTATTTTAATTGAAAAAATATATTTAAAAAATAAATTTTGATTAGATTCGATTACAGTAGAAAAAGTATATACTAAACAAACAAAGATAGGTTGAACAATAAAATATATTTAAAGATAAATTCAATAAAATTATATTAAAAGTACAAAAAGAAATTAAAAGTATATTCCAAAAATAGAAAATAAAAACATGTCCCTGGTGAGATTTGATCACAGGATCAGGAGGTTGGGCCAGGGAGACATAAATTCAATAAAAGTACAAAAATCAATTAAAAGTATATTTAAAAAACCATGCCCTCAAAGAAATTTGATCACAGGATTGGGGGAGGGCGCGAAGACACAAAGAGGTATACTAAATTATATTTAATTAATTTCAGGGGACACGTGCCCTCTAATCCTCACGTGGATTCACCCATACTTATCATTAAATATTATGTTATATTTAACAGAAATGTGAGGTGGTGGCTCACGTATAAATGTAAAGGGTCAACTATACATAATTATGGATTGGTTTAGGGTGGAGTCGGTTGAAACTAAACGGGGCTAGGACTTAAAAAAAATAAAAAGTAAGGAAGACACTATCATCCCCTCCAAAACCTCAACAATATTAAGGATTGAGCTACTCTTCTCATTGTGATTAGACTACTCCTCTTATTGCTAATAGGTTTTGAGATGAAATTCCATGAATATTAATAAACAACATCAATCACCACCTCTTCATCATCGATGTCGTCTAGAAGCTCATCTCCCTCGTGACTCTCCTCCTTTAGAATGTTTTCAATCATCAGTACAAAGTTGTGCAAATTCAGGTGTCGGAGAATATGAAATCCAAGCTTGAACCCACGAAGAAAGGGTGTGAGAGTCTACAAATGTTTAATGATATAAATTATGAGGCATTAATCAGATATGATACAATTCTAAATAAACGTGTTAGTTTAACATTTTCTTGCAGATATCCGACATTGTTAATGAATAAGTAGATTGCGATGGGTTATGTGGGCGAAGCCACTACTATTTATAAAGAAAGTAAATTGAAATAAAATAAAATAATGATAAATTCATGCAACCAATACCAAATAAATTAAAATCTAACAAAATCTTAAAACAAACCAAAAATTCAATTTTTAAGATTCGATTTTTAAATAAAATTTAACAATCTATTTAAAAACAAAATCTTAAAATATAAATTGAATTTAACATTAAATTTTTTTAATACAATGATACCTCCTCAAATATATTAATAAAAAGTAGAAAACAATAATTCAATGATGAAAAATTATTATGTGCAGAGTTAGAACACAAATCTAAATGTGATAAGTAAAGAATGAATTTTCAACGAAATTATCATTTTGTATATCAAAGTGGCAAATGAATGAGAGGTCGGTAAAGAAAAAATAAGTTGCGAGTGATTGTGGAAGTATCCGAACTCATCCTTCTCTGAGTTAAAAAGAGTGTATACCTCTTTCACATTTTCCGAAGTAAAAAATGAAAAATGAAAAATGAAAAATATAAACAATATTTATTTATGAAAAAAAAAAATGTTGAAGACTTGAACCCTTAAATTTGTCCGTAATCGATTGAGAATCTTCCATTTTGGCAAAACTCGAGCACGAGCCGCAGAGAAAATCGTCCTCTCGAAGACAACTTCAGTCATGGCGGACTTGTGCTGAGGTCTGATCTAACATTCTGCGTGCCGATCGTCAGCTGGCCCTAAATGCAACATAAGCGTCATCATTCAATAACTGGTAATGCTTTTTGTGACATCTTTTATAGTTCGTTTCCAGAAAGGAAAAAGCTTTTCTGCAATTAAGTTTCCATCAAGAACTGCATTAGCTGTGACACAACGAAGAGCCGATGTTGTCAATTAGAAGTTGAATCCATGGGAATTTAATTTGAAGTATCTTTGCTAAGAAATCGGTAATTTTATGACAGTAACAAAAAATATGGTAGGGTTATTTTGCAGCGACGGCTTCTTTGATTGATTTAACCTTTTTTTTTAACACCTTTGTTAATTTGCTTTTTGTGAAGCGTACTATAGAATCTGATCGCTTAGTTCTGAAGCTGTTTTAAGCTTCTATAGTTAGTAATTGGTACGTTCATGGTCTATTGCTAGATTGATTACTTATTGCAATATTGGGGTTTCAGAAAATTGAATCTCGAACTGGCTTTCATAATGCTTATACTGTTCTCTGAGAGGCAAAAGCAAGCAGAATTCAAAATTTTTGTTGTATTCCATAATCCTGATTCTGAATTTGAGGAAATGTCTGTTATTTTCTTTATTTTATCTTTGATTTTTTTTTATCCTTCGATTGGTCTTTTCTTCCTGTCCTTGCTGTCTCTGAGTTTTAATTTTGTGCTTTTCCTGTTCTATATAGGTTTTCTATTGCTTGAATTAGAATTTGGTATCTGGTCCAGCATTATACTGGCTGGACTTAAGTAGTGGAGGAGTGCATTTTATTGGCTAAGATTGGATGGATCTGACATGGCTGAGTGCCATTGTAGTTGGGGCCGGCTGCCTGGTTTTGGGATACTATATTGGTTCAAAGTATCCTCCTCGCATATTTTTCAAAGCCAAATTAGCCAAAAGCAACGAATCTAGTAGAAGTGGGAAGAAGGATAAGCCTAAAGAGGCACTTGAGATTGAAAGTTTGGCTGACATTCTCGATGACTTCAAGATGGTCTGTTTCTGTGTCTCTCTGTCTCTGTCTATCCATTTGAAAATATGGCTGACATTCACGATGACTTCAAGATGGTCTGTCTCTCTCTCGAAAAAATTAAATAACATTTTACTATATCTCTGCAGGTTTTGGTTGTGAGAAATGATTTGAAAATGGGCAAAGGAAAAATTGCTGCCCAGTGCAGGTATTTCTTACCAACTTGTGATTGCTCTTTCGTTATTTGATGTTTTGAATGCTAATAATCACGAAAACTTTAAATTTCCCTGTTGCTTTCCGAGTGTGGAAATACGAAGTTTGTTTTTGTTAAAAACAAATCGTAATAATTGGGCATATAGTGTTTTATAAGTTTATATTAGCTACCCAATGCAGCCACCTGGTGTAGTAAATTTCTGATAATGACTACAATAACATAATATTAATTACTATAATAAAGTTTAGTAAAATTTAGTTGTATAGATGCATATCAAATATCAGTGATTATAATGACATGTGAGGGTGAGGGGGAGAGGTTCAAGTGAAAGTTGTCATAATGCAAAACTTGGATGATAATGGTGATTCTAATTTTTTAAAATTACATGTTAAAATCAGGAAAATTATTGATGAATGGTATCTAAAAAGCTATAGCAAAGGTGCTAATGGGAAGAACTCTGTCAAGCTTAGACAAATTCTTGATGTCACTTTAATTGCAAATGAAACGGTGGAGGAAGAGAGATGTAAGAAAGAAAAAAAATTAGGTGATTCAAATAGATGTAGCAAAAGTCTACAATAAAGTGTGTCTATAATTTTTGGATAGAGTGTTGAAAGTATAGTAGGCTTGAGAAGGTGGATAAGAGGGTGCGTCATCAGTAGGTCTTCTTTCTAAGAAGAAAATAGAAGCTTCAATGGGATTGAGGCAAGAGATTACATATTCTAATGATGCAAACGAAGATGTTTCATTAGTATTACATAGATAGTTTGGATCATTATATGGATGAGAACCAAACTTCAATGTCTTGTTCTACCATCAAAAAGAACTCATATTACGTGATTGCAATTATCAGCAAACCTTGCGGCAGATATTTACTGAAAGGATCGCCTATGCAACACAATCATTTTAAATTACAATGTGAAAGGCCGAGTTTTCTTATTTTCTAATATGTGTATGACTAAATGTGTACTGCCTTATTACCTGTTTCGTAGTAAAATTATTGAGAATTGAGACTAGTAATCTAATTTTCTCAAACCTTTGCACCATTAACTTTCCAGTTTCTTAATGCTGTAAATTGGATTTGGACTAGTTTATAATCTACTTTACTTGCTTTTGTTAGTCACGCAACTTTGGGTCTCTATAAGAAGCTCCATCATCGTGCACCGAAAGCTTTGAATAGGTATGTATGTATGAACCGAACAGAATAGTTCTCCAGATATTAATGTGCATCGTGTACTTTGTTGTCTGCACATTTATTTGATTTTATTACATGTAGGTGGGAGATGTGTGCACAGCCCAAGGTGGTTCTGAAAATAGAGAGTGAGGAAGACATGCTAGTTTTGCAAGTAACAGTTCCACTATGATTTTCTTTCCTTAAAAATCTCTCCATGATTTTATAGTATCTAGACGATTTCTTTTTTGTGTGCACTTTGTGGTGCCATCAGTATCTGCCTTATTATGTCAAAAGAATATAACATTTACAGTTGGTTGATGTCTGTTAGTTTATATATATATATAATTCAATTTTGATTATGAGTGCAAGCGGGTCAATTTGGGTTACTTTCTTGCTGAAACCAATATTTTTGCAAACCGATTAAAACAAAACCGAACTCACTATTTTTTATTTTATACTTTAGAAGACCGAACAAATCAACAAGCTTACTTCAAACCAACCAAACGGTCTGGTTGATTGGTTTTTTTCTTTCAATTTTTGGTTGTACCCCTACCTCTAGGCTCTAATGCCCTTCATATTTATTAAGACATTTGTTCTTTTACCCCCCTTCCCTCTTTTGTAGAATGCTCATTTCATCAGATCTTATTTTTCTTGCTGACTTTACTTAGTCGGCCATAAAATTTCAAAGAGGATAGTATTTTGAAATTTTCTCGTGTCGGATAGTCATCTATGTAGTTAATATCATTGGCAAAGAGGGGAGATGGAGAAAAATTGACTGTTTAATTCTTGGTACTTTTGGCCCTTGATCTTGGTTCTTTTATTTTTCAAATTTATATGTTTTCTTGTTCATCAGGAGAGGGCAAAATCATTGAAGTTACCAACCCATATTACCATTGATGCTGGAAGAACTCAGATTGCTCCAAGTAAGTTCTACAAAATTCACTTAAATTCATCACTTTTTCCATAGCAAATTTATCAAGTTCACTAAGTTCTGCAATTCCGTTCTTCCAGATTCAAGAACGGTGATGGCAGTACTCGGTGAGTGGCTTTTTTCCATGTATCATTTATATAATCAAAGAGTCTTTTCATTGTCGCCTATACAATTTAAGCATTCCTTTTTAGCAAAATATCTCGTGCGTATAAAATTCCTTTGGCCCCTCCCTTTTTGTTCTTGCCTCATTTTTTCGTCGGCTGGTGTATCTACTAAACAGTACCATTGTGGTGCATTCCAACTGAAATTAATTAAACTAATTAGGTTCACCTAATGAACGTATTAGTAGTAGTGCATAGTTGAATACACTTCTCATTTCACAATATGCAGGTCCCGTTGAAGTGGTTGATGATGTAACTGGTGGGTTGAAACTCTTGTAGTTCCTGAACTCTCGCCTGTGATCAGCCCAGACTTCTTCAAGACTTCAGTTTTGTAGCAGAAGGCTCTGCAAAATCCAGCCATGCTTGGACCATCTACACTGTACGAAATCGATCTATGCGAAGCTCGAACAATCATGGTACTGAATACTTATCACCATTTCTGATCTATGCGAAGCTCGAACAATCATGGTACTGAATACTTATCACCATTTCTGATAATGACGACAATGACACTAATATGAATTAACTTATTTATTATATAATCGAGTCTGATTATATATAGCAGAACAGTTGGAAAGTTCTTGGATTTCCTCGTTTTAGGACTACTCGGTTCAAACCCGCATAAAGATTTTAGTTTCACAGATTGTTCTCATCTAACTTGTTTCTGTTGCATCGTCTTAAATGTTATTTGGATTTAGGCTAGCCTAATAAAGACTTTTTGGTTTTATGACAATTGAAAAGGTAGGTTTAAAAATACTAATATGACTTTTTGGTTTTGTGCTTATTCTTTATTATTTATTCAACTTGATCGATTGAGAGTAAACCATAATCGAACTTGAGAAGGTAGGTTAAAAAATACTAGATTAAAGGATATAAAATTAATTAAGTTGATTGAGAGATGACTTATCTGAGTTTGTCAAATTTTATGGGTAGAACAATAGAGAGGAAGGTTGCTAAAAAAGACAGAGATAACACTCTTTATAACTACGACCCATGAAGAGACAATGAGTAGAGTTTACAACTTCTGGTGGGAGATATATAACAATTATCGCTTATGCTCGTTTGGAAAGAAGTAGAGTTAGTCGTCATTGTTGGTTACTCAAATTTACATAAGTTAATGTAGTCGTTAGCATGCTATTAGGATGGAAATTAATCAAAGTGGAAGGTTTAGGGACTAAAATAAAATTTTTAAATATACAAATGAACAAAACCTCGAAACTATTGGGACAAAAATAATATTTAACCAATAATTAATATCTTAGATAAATAGGTAAAAAGTAAAGCCAAAACTTAATCGAAACCCACAGTTACAGAAGAATCTCAATTCTCAACGGTCGTGTGTCGTTAAGCTGCTAGGGCGTTTGCCACATTTCTTCAAACGTCGTCACTCTGTAGGCCAGCTTTAGGGCTTAAGACTTGCATTTCTTGGATTTTCATCGCCATAGCGCTTTTTTTTCCACAGTTTCGATACCACTTGTTTCTGCCAAGTGCTGAGGAACTTTTCCCCACTGTACCCATTTCCCTCATCTAAGAATTGTTTCCTCGTTAATTTTCTTCATATTTCCTTATTTTGGTATTCCAAACCCTAAAGATTTCTTCTCGATGACTTCTAATTTACGGCCTCAGTCGAACTGATGATGTTTTAAGAGGCGTTGTTGAATCTGAAAGCCCGTCTCCTGTTTCTTGGGGTACGAAATGGTTGCGTTTGAATTTTGTTCACGACTTCTGTTTTTTTTTTGGGGGGGTTTCTGATCAGGCGTTCTTCTTTCACTTGGTTCATTTGCGTCAGTCGAGGATTTTAGTGTCGCTAATCTCCATTTTTTCTGTGTTCTTCTCCGTTCCGTGTTCATTTACCCATCTTCTTCGCTATCTAGCTTCTCCAGGCTATCTTCACTGCTATAAATTTGGGCTTTGCCGACGTTGACCTTTTTTTTTTTGTTAGTTGACACTTAAAAAAAATGTAATTAAATTTTAACCTTAAAATAAATTATTTAAAATATATATATTAATTAGTACAACTACAAAAGAATACACATTTCCTTTAGTTTTTCTTTTATTTTTATTTTAAAAATACATATATTGACATTTATAAAATGTCAACTTACATATATATTAAAATTGACACGATAGAGTGTCAACTTTTAGACTTTTGTTGACGTCAATGACGTAACATTCCGTAAATTTTTGTAGTCCCCATGTTTTTCATATGGTTGACGGTCTTTAGTCGTCAATATTATCCTTTTTATTGATGGCTAAAAAATTGTCAATAAAACAGACAATATTGACGCGTTTTAGCCGTCAATTAAATACGCATTGTTGACATTTATTAGCCGTTAATAGTTATTGTTTTTGTTGATGATTTAATAGGATCAATTAGAAATATTGACTGTTAATATCCGTCAAGTATACTACATTTTAATTGATATTTTTATTGACACATTTAGACCATCAATATTAAATTTAATAAAACAATGTCGTTGAAATAATATTAAAAATTTATTTGATGAATATATGATTTTTTTTTGAAAAGTCATAATTAAAAATAAAAGATTACTTTTAATTATACCTTTTCTTTTGTTGGAAATTAAAGGTATTTTGTTGAAAGTCATAATTTGGTCCATGAACCTTCTTTTATTTTATTTTTTTATTTTTTGAGAAACACGTTTTAATTCTGTATGAAGTAAAATTTTGAATAGAAATTTTTATCTAAATCTTTAACTTTTGAGAATTTAGATTTTTTTTCCCATTAGATTCTTGCCCAGTTTTTTTAGAATATTAATTTGAATTTTTTCATAAATTAGGAAAAATAAATTGATATCTATAATTTTTATCAAAAAATTAACAAAAGAAAAATAAAACAAAAATCTATTAGAAACGCAAAACCAAGATTCGAAACCGTAACGTTGAATTTGTATATCCAACCTAAAGCCAACGGACCAAAACAACGTTTTGAAGCTGTAACATACTTTGCAAATATAGTCACGTAATTGTATTTCAGGTAAATCAAATTAATTAAAATTTGAAACCCTACGACCTTCTCCCCCAATTCGACCCGTTCTCTTCCACTCTCTCTTTCCAACCAGCCCCACCCTCTGTTTCCATTACCCTCAACGCCGTCGTTTAGCGTCGCCGCCCAGCCTCGCTGCCGTCACTACCGTCACCACCGTCGCCCAGCCTAGCCACCGTTTCCCAACACTGCCGTCATCGCGCAATCCCGTTGTCTAGCCCCATCGTTCGTTCATCCCTCCTCTCTCTCTCTCCTCTCTGTTCTATTTTACTTGTACAACATTAGGGAAACTAAATTAAAATTTTAGGGTTAATTAGAAAGAAGAGAAATTAATTAATTGTTCCCTCATGCCTTAAGAAGAGAAAGAATGGTTTTGAATTGGTTAGGGAAAATGTTGGAAATGTGCTTCGTAATTGATTACAATCTTTAGAGTTTGTTCTTCTTTAGCGGACACAATCGGAGTTAATTTTAAAAGCTTGTAGTTTAAGTGAATTTCATTCCCATCTAAATCACATACGATTATAAGATATAATTCTTATCTGGATAATTATTGCTTCTATTTTGTTGAATTCCACTGATCTCTTACCGATTCTGTGAACTCAGGTCGAGAGGATTGACGTGGTAGAAATTGCAGCAGGAAGTTAACTTAGTTATGGGGTTTGACAACGAGTGCATATTGAACATTCAGTCTCTGGCTGGGGAGTATTTCTGTCCAGTCTGCCGCTTGCTTGTTTACCCACATGAAGCATTACAGTCACAGTGCACTCACTTGTATTGCAAGCCTTGTTTAACTTATGTAGTTAGCACGACCAGGGCTTGCCCATACGACGGCTACTTAGTTACAGAAGCAGATTCTAAGGTTATATCTTTTATTTCTGTGGTCATAAATTCTAGTGCTTGTGTTACATCTATCTATATTTATGCCAATAATTTCACTCTTGCAGCCGCTTATCGAATCAAATAAAACCCTTGCTGAAACCATTGGCAAAATAGCGGTTCATTGCTTGTATCATAGGAGTGGATGCACTTGGCAAGGGCCATTGTCCGATTGTGTAACTCATTGTTCAGGATGTGCTTTCGGCAACTCCCCTGTTTTATGCAATCGGTGCGGAATTCAACTTGTACACCGGCAAGTGCAGGAGCACGCACAAACTTGCCCAGTGAGTGCAATTTTGCTTTTATTTGTTTAGTTACTATTCAGTTTTGAGAAAAAAAAAAGATAGAAATAACTAGTTTTCATTTTTATTTGTGTTTTTGTTAACTTTTGTGTATGTTGTTGAACCGCAGGGTGTGCAGCCTCAAGCACAGCAAGGGGACGGTGCTCAAAGCACCACAGCGAGTAGCACGACAGCTGCTACTGATCAGGTCCAGTCTGCCTCCATGTCTGGAATGGCTAAATCTCAAGCCCAATCTTCGCAGAGTGTTGCAGTTGGTGCTCCTGGACAGGATACCAATCAGCAGGCTAACGCAAGTTCCCAGGGTCCAACTGTTGTTCAAGCTGCTGTACCAACTTCAGAACAGTGGTATCAACAGCAACAACAGTATCAGGAATACTATCAGCAGTATCCTGGATATGATCCTTACCAACAGCAGTACCAGCACTACTACCCTTATCAGCAGCAAACGGCTGTTCCGTATCAGCAGCCACAACCAACTCAGGCTCTTCCTTCCCACATGGCTACCCAGCAACAACCTGCGTACATTCAACCCCAGCCTCAGCCTCAATCTCAACCGCAAGTTCCAGTCCAATCCCAGTCCCAACCCCAGTCCCAACCCCAGTCCCAACCCCAGCCTCAATCCTTGCCACAGCCTCAACCACTAACTCAGCCACATGAAAATTCTCAATCACATATGCACGTCCAAACGCCTGCAGTTGGTCAGTCTCAGAACCAGGGACAAGTTAATCCGCAGCAACAGCTGTATCATGCTGCAACCCCACATTCTCATATCCAACCACAGGGTCACCCACCAGCTCATG